GTTCATCTAAATCTATCCCATCAGGTAGAATGTGTGTGTATTGATGTAGCTAGTGTATTGTATTGGTGGTGCAGTGTGTACATAGAGTGTTCCAGGGGCAGCAGTCAAGGGCCCAGAATTGCAGTAACGGTAAGAGGCTCACATGAGCTAAATATTGATTGGAGCGAAGAGTCTCCCTCTCCTTCAGCCATTAATCCTTTATTACCATTCCCCTCTGCCCTTCTGCTCTAAAGGAGGATGAGGAAAGAGGAATATCCCATGTCCTTTATGAAATGAGTATCCTGCAAGAAAGGGATTCCCTTCTCTCGGCTGAAAGTGAAGTAGGAACAGGGAGAATCCCACAGCTCTCCAGGACACAAGGTGATAAAATCACAATACTGTAGATACAAGGTAAGATCTCGCTGCTGTTTCTTGAGTAGTAAATTAGCAGAAGCAGATTCAAATACTTGATAAATCATAGATCTAAGGTTATCGGACGATGTGTTGAATTCTTCCCATTGCTTTCATAAATTAGCCAGTTCTCAGGAGGATTAGATTTCTAGAGAAAGAAAAAGGTCAGCCCTTATGTCAAATACAAATGTGAAAAGATTTAATGACCAAAATATCACATTGTTGATAAAAAAAAAAAAAAAAAAAAAAACGACTGTCACCAAGGAGTCACTTGGCCTTTAAAAAATATCCACATGCATGATTATTTCCCATATGGAATCTAATATATCGCAATATATGACATAAAAGCTCATAACTGGTTATTGAATATATAAAATATGCCATATATGCAACGCATATATTTCCAAATATCGCAAAAATTGCCATTTACATATATATTTTTTCAACCTTTGGAATTTCGAATATTATGTACATATGCTCAAAAAAAAAAAAAAAAAAAAAAATATATATATATATATATATATATATATATATATATATATATATATATATATATATATATATATATATATATATATATATATATAATATTTATACTTTTTATATGCAGCCCAAAAATTATTCACACCCCTGGCAAATTCAGACTTGAAGTTACTTTAAGACAAGAAATAACACATGCAACTCCCAAAAACATCTAAAGCATCCTAATTACACTAATTCATTGGGGACAGCAGTTTTATTAACCCAACAGATGAAAAACAGAAGCTCTCTGCTGTTGGTTTGTGGACAGTCATGGCTAAGACAAAGGAGTTCAGTGAGGACCTGCAACTGCATATTGCGGCTACTCACAAGTCAGGCAAGGCCAGTGGCTACAGTGCAAAGTTACAGAAAAAAATACCAGACGTTCTGCACTTTGGAAAATTTCAGCAGATGTGGTCGGAAGCCAAAAGTGACACAATATAATTTCCTTAATTAAAAAAAATATATGTACTGTAAAGGGCAATATTTGAAAATATATGTTGGATATATTAAATATATTTTATATTTGTGAAATCCTTACATATATTGCAATATATAGTTATGGGTTTTGCTCTGCAGTGTTTATTTTGCAAAATATTTTCTAATATTTAATTTTTTAAACCAACTGTTTTAAAATATTCCACACATATATACATGAATGAAAAAAAATTGTCAAAAAACCCAAACAGATGATTTGTTTATCGCTTTTATTTCCATAAGCACTTTTTTTTTATTTAAACACATTTAAAAATACCATTCAATGCATCTCTTTTAATACCTTCTTCTACTTCCATCGTTTCCCTTTCTCCTCCCTTTCCTTCAGTTCTCTTCTCGAGGTGTCATGCTAAGCCATATCAGCAAAAAGCACCTGCTCACGCCACTGCCTTTCATAATGACACAAATCCCTCCTGTTCATCCTTCTGTCCAACCACCCTCTAATCTGCCCCTTCATTATTATACTCCCTGATACATTATAGTTTATCCACACATCCACAGCTTTGTTTCTCGTTAAGCGGCACACTCACTTCACAGTTTTAGGTCATAGAAGTCTTTCCAGTTTGTTTAAAATAAAGCTGATCTGGAGGCAATATATTTTTTCAAATACTTATTCAAATTATATGTGATCCTTCAAAATTATTGAAAAGCATTCAAATTCTGAACTGACTCAACAAGTGGGAATGATTAGAATCTCTTAGACCTGTTTTTAATATGAAGGCGCAGTTTATATTTCAACTACATAGCCAAAATAGAAAAAAAATCTTTTCCCAGCAGGCACAGGACATCAACATGATGGCAGATTGACGTTGCACCCCGATGTCATGGACGTGTTGCATTTTGTTTGGAAATAAAAATCAGGTTGACTTCAGAACCCAACGTCAGGCCGACGTCAATGTCCAACGTCCAGTCTAAAATCAACCAAACATCAACGACTAATGATGCTACAGCTAGATGTTGTGTGGACGTTACCACTATGATGTCTATCAGATGTTGGATTTTGATTGCCATACCTAATAAATAAATGTCAGTATCTGACGTCAATATGACGTTGGGATTTTGGTCCAACACAACCTAAAATCAACCAATTATCAATGTCATTTGACGTCATTATTGGACGTCAAAATAACATCGTCCTTAGATGCTGGCTAGGCATTGAATTTTGGTCACCTGATGTCACAAACGAAATCTAACCTAATATTAACCACTTATGACATTGTGTACCTGCTGGGTTGTGTTTTGAAAAAAGTTTCACATTTACACGACAACATTTTTAAAACAATTAGCATTTACAAATCTGCAAAAAGCCTGTATTACATTTGCCAGACAAATATTTAGCGCTGTCATCTTGTTAGTAAACAGTAAAAGTAAGCAACTGACGATGTGCAGTTAAGTGCTTGTGTCTGTAGAATTTTCCATGCTTGTAAGATGTTGGTTTTAATGCAAAGTAAATCCACACTTGCTAAAGAAGCATTAGGAAATTTGAGCAACAGCAACACTACCACATACTCCGCCACTGTGTGTTCGTTTGCGTTTGGCTTTCATATACACCTTCCTAAACATTTACCATGCATGAGTATGATCTCATCCTTTTCAAAGACTCTCGGTTTTGTGTATTTACATGAACACAACAACCGCAGTGTTTGTTAGTTACCGTCCACTTTGTAACCTGTTTTTAGATTTATGCATTTCAAGAGTTCACACTTAAGGCTGATTTATACTTCTGCGTCAAGCCTACGCTTGCGACGCTTACGTGCACCTCTCAAAAAATTGTAACTACACATTGCAACGTCGCATGTTGCAAGCTCTGTGATTGGTCGGCTTGGTAGAGCTGACAAGTCTGGGAGGGACCGCGAATGGCGCGACCCCGATGGAGCGATTGTTTACAAGTGTGGAGTCCTGTGAAGGAGCTCCGGATGGAAAGTTTTGTTTTGTGTTTACCTCATAGTTAAAGTTGTTGCACGTCCGCCGGTTCCTGCCTCAAAATGAGTGAGTTTGAGCCACTTGTACATCCAGGAAGTGTTCAGGAAAAGCAAAACAGCAGCGAAGAAACTCGACACAGTGGAGCATTTACACCTCACTGCCAACTAGCGTTTCGGAAGTGTTAATGCAGACCAACAGAGACAGCGCGCAGAAGTATAAATGCACAGCTACGCGCGTTGCATGCGCCGTGGGTTACGCCGGTCACTTGACGCAGAAGTATAAACCAGGCTTTAGCTGATGATTGATTGTAAAGCGTGTTTGGCATGCTTTTCGAGAGCGAGAGGGAAGTTTGAAGTCAGGTAGATCTCTTGACCGTCCCTGCTGTTTAGGGCTCAAGACAAATTAAGAATTGCTATGGAGAGATATACGGCTGGCTAAGAGCTCATCTGTGGTGCCAATTTTGGTTTAGTCAACTCACTTATGTCGCTTGTCTTTGGATGGTGGGAGGAAACCCACACGAGCACGGGGAGAACATCTAAACTCCACACAGAACTGCTCAGTGCTAACCACTGAGCTACTATGTAGCCCTATCTAGGAAAAGGAGTAGGAGTGGAAGAGGGGGAATCTTCAAAGCCAGGGGTGTTCAAACTCGGTCCTGGAGGGCCGGTGTCCTGCAGATTTTAGCTCCAACTTGCCTCAACACACCTGCAAGGATGTTTTTAGAAAGCCTACTAAAGCTGCGGTCACACTAGAGTCTGATTATGGGAAATTCTGTTGTGTGGAGCTGCAAAAAGAGGCGGGATTAAAGAAGATTATTAGACATAAAAAAAAGCGAGCGATTGCTCCATGTCCCAATTTCTGTCCAGAGAGATCATGCTTTGATCCTCGATTGGTCTCATTCAGTCAAGTGATACAATTTCGCAGGTCAGAGTTCACCAAGCTTGAACTTTGCGCCACAGCAACCTGCAAAACTTGACGCATGACCTTGCGTTTCCGGTCTGACGCATTTACATGCGTATGAATGGAAGTCTATGGGGAGAAAAGTCCAGTGTGACAGCAGCTTAAGAGCTTGATTAGCTAGCCCAGGTGTGTCTGATTAGGATTGGAACTAAACTATGCCTGTTCAAGGTGAAGATGACGGTGGTATGAAACTGTGGTTATTTATAGTGAGTTAGGAATAGTTTGATTGGTGAATCATGTGCTCATGCGGGACCACCATAAGCATGTGATCCTCATGAAATTAGTTTAGAAATTAACTTTACTTTGAGTCCAAAAATGCATAAAAGTTTAGAGTTTGGGTTGAAAACGTTGTCGTGTAAATGCCCCCTATGTTCCTAAGCAGATGATCTGATGGTTTATTTTTAAGAAGAGATCATTGTGAGACCAGACGACTCTGCTTAACTGAGAAAACCAGTGATTCTTTGTAGTGACTACACATTCATAGGATGTGTAAATTATTGCATCTATTGCTCATGCAACACCTCTGCCTGTTTTATCTTTGCAGTCTTTCCACCAGGAAAAAGTGATAATTAACTTCGCTTATTCTACCTTGATTGGAATAAGGGAGGATGTTTGGCCTTTCAAGATGTCTAGACATATAATCATGCCCCTATTCAATCCCACATCTTACAGCATGAAACTAAATGTGGATTCCTGCTAAACAAACAATAATAAAAAGTTAACCCCGTTTTTTATGTTTCTACAGCTTCTGTACATACTTTTCACCATTCTAAAATACTGTCCCTGCTACATAACTGCTCTTTAGCATCCATAAACAATTCAAATAATATAGAAATCAATTTGCGCTAGTACAAAATTTGGATCTGAACTTAGTAAAGTAAAAGAAACAAACAAAAAAATGGCAACACTAACACAAGCAGTTCCTATCAACGTAGCAGTAGCCAATGCACTTCATTCACTGCTATAACTATTCATCTAAAAAAATACACTATATCCATCTGTCAATAGTAGTCTACTCTGTATCCAAATCTTCTTCATCATAACTTCTTAGAGATAAATTCATTTGAGGGCACTGTAGATAAAAACAGCCACCCTAGTGGCTGTGATGGATCAAAACAACACGTGAAAGACTACCTATGAGAACTAACACGGGTATCATTGTTGTTGCAACTTCTCTTCTGTTATGAGTAGGATTTCAACTCCTGCATGGGGTGTTGACATTATAGCTGGCGTCCTCCAGAAACTCATCTTCACTTAGGCTTATATGAAGGCAGGTGTCATTGACCGGCGAGGAGAACGGGATGGTTTGCTCAGGTGTGGTCGATTGCCGTGGACTTCCTCCATCTGCAGCTGGATGATCCTCAGGTAAGCTGCTGCATGTGCTGGATGTGGAGATAAATGCAGAGCTCTGGTCATCGTCTCTGGATTGGGGGGATATGAGGGATTTGTCATCCGAACGAACGCCTGAATCTTCACTTGCTGAACATGACACGCTGGTGCCGTTGGTGTGAGAATAGAAATCCCCAGGTGAAACTGAGCACAGGGTGATATCAGGAAATGAGGAGCTAGCGCTGACATTTGGTAGAATATTTCCATTTACAGCCGTGGCTATAGTCGAATTTCTGTACTCGGCCTCCACGCCCGGAGAGAGAGTCCTGTTTGAACGTTTGCGGTTCAGGGGCTGAGGTGGCGGGTCCAGTTTAGGGATGATTTGTGAATACCTGTGGAAACCAAAAAAAAGGGAGTAAAACGTAAGTGAATGAGTTTATTTAAGTAAAATTATTTTAAAATATACTGATGATTGATATGTGTAATTGTACATTTGTTCTAACCAAGCACAACACAGCCGTCTTATCTGTAAACATGACATTTGTTTTTTTTATTTACATAATAGAGTTTTAAGGTGTGCTACTACAATCCGGTTGTTAAGTGTGACGTCACACGAAGCAGCTTCCGGATCCAAGCGATCTACCAAACGGTATGGGGAGACTCAACAAATGGTAATAATAATCATCTACAAAGCGATGTAATACTTCCAAAAATCACGATTGAAATATTATATCCATGCCTAATATCCGATGACCAAAAAGTGATTGATTGTTAATAACTTGCTAAAATATTGATGTTTGTGATGCAGCAAGTCTAGAGACTGTTGTGTACAACAGTAGCAGCTTGAACCTGGAAACAGTGTTCCATATGTCACGACTTAACAAGCAGACAGCTCAGTTCAGCAACATTATCTGGGTTATGTATACCATTAAAGGGTGTATTTTTATAGTTAACTAACACTTTTTAAAAAATGTTGTCTAGTAATTTAAATAAAGAATGAATTATATCTATCTCTTAAGAAAAAAGTTACAAAAACTGTCAACTACCATAATTGAAACAAAACAATTGAAAATAAAAAATAAAAAAACATCTAGTACAAAATATAAAATATTAAACTAACAACACGAAAAAAAAAAAAAAAACCCCACACACTTCTGGTTTGCTATCCAGGTAGGGACTCTCCGTAGACGTAATAATGTTTCTAATGTACAAACTGTATTTTCTAATCAAACTCAAACTCAGGAGGCCTGAAGTGCTGTACAAGGCCATCAGTGACAACATTCATTCATTCATTTTTATTTCAGCTAAGTCCCTTTATTAATCTGGGGTTGCCACAGTGGAATGAACCACCAGCATGTTTTATGCAGCGGATGCCCTTCCAGCCGTAACCCAACAATGGGAAACACACATACACTCTTGCATTCACATACACACACACACATTACGGACAATTTAGCTTACTCATACACCAATACCAAATGTCTTTGGGCTCTTGCTGGGAGTTGGTCATGCTAACATTGCGCCACTGTGACGCTATAGAGTTCTGATGCAAAAACCTCTAAATGCCATCAGAAATTTTCTCCTAAAATGAGTATTTCTTTTCAGCCCCCTATGTTTATGTTAAGTTATTTCACTTTAAGGGCAATGAAAAGAACTTGTTTGTCACTATAAAAGTAAAATTAATGAGCCTACACAGGTGGCTAAGAAAAATGCTCATTTTAGTAGAAAATATCAAATGACATTTAGAGGTTTTTGCATCTAATCTCTTCACACACACACACACACACACACACACACACACACACACACACGCACACACACACACACACACACACACATATGGATTTGTGACCAGTGATATTTCAGCAGGCAGAGCTTCAGACAATAAATGTAACTTTATTTATAGAGCACAATTAAGTACATAATTTGGCCAAAGTGCTTCCCAAAGGTAAAAAATAGAAAAAAGGGGGAATGAAGAAAAAGCAATAAAAAAATAAAAGCAAAAATCCTTATACAATTATTTGCAATTTAAAGCACACTCAAAAAGATGTGGTTTTAACTATGATTTTAAGTCAGATAGCAAGGAGGCATTTCTGATAGGTAGAGGCATAATTTTATAGCTTAGGACAAACTACTGAAAAGGTTCTGTCAACCCTGCTCTGCAAACGAGAAGGTTGAACTGACATAAGCTGGCCGTCTTGAGATCTGAGCGACCTAGTTGGATTATGGGGGGTGAGTAAATCTGCAAGATTATTGCGAGTTTTATAAACAAATAGCAGAATTTTGAAGTAAGTGAAGTTTATGTATAAACTAATTTAAAGAGGATCACGTGCTTATGATTGCAAGCGGCTGGATCCTTATTATCCAATTCACTATGCTCCAATCAGATGACTCCTAAACTACTATAAATACCCTGGGTTTCATTCCACTGCTATCTTCGTTTTGAAGAGTCCCCCCTTCCACCCCTACTCCTCCTCCTTCCTAGATAGGTGACACAGTGGCCCAGTGCTTAGCACTGTTGCCTCACAGCAAGAATGTCTCTGGTTCCAGGCTTTACCAAACCAGCAGACATTTCTGTGTGGAGTTTGCAGTTTCTCCCCGTGCTCACGTGGCTTTTCCGCATGTTCCCCGGTTTCCTCCTACCGTCCAAAAACATGCAAGTTAAGTTAATTGAATAATCCAAATCGGCACCATAGACATGCATGTAGTATGTAGTTATCTCCAAGAGCAATCACTTACTGTTCATTGGTTACTACAGCAGGGGAGTTCTCAAGATCTACCTGAGCTCAAACTCCCCTCCTGCATTGCAACGGGAGGGAACCCCGGGCTCGAGGATCTAATGAGCTCAGGGCTCTCTCCCGGGACAGCATGCCAAACAAGCTTTCATAATCAATCATCAGCTAAGTGTGAACTCTTGAAATTCTATTACTGACAGGTAGCCAGGATGGGTTTAATAAGGTCTCTTTTAGGACTGCCTGAGAGCAGATGGAAGTCCACGTTTTATAACCATTTGAAGACGATAAATAGATGAAAGCAGCAATCCAGCATATAAATAATCACAACAGTAGAGTCACGAGGAGATAAAAGTGTGGATCACAGTTTCAAAACTTTCCTTGCTTAGTAAAGATTTTACTCTCGCTAGCCGACAGATGAGGTAAAGGCCGGTGCTGACAAATAAGCTAATTTGTTCATTTAATTTTAAGGAATTGTCAAAATAAAGTCTTTTACTTCATTTTTGAGGAATGGAGTGTGTGCCCTAAGGTCAGCAGAATGTTCAACATAGTGCTCTTAAATGACTTGGGTTTTGCCGTCAGTTAATAAGGTGAAATTGGCTGAAAGCCACACTTTCAGCTCCTCTAGACAGGCCACTAGTCTTTGGTATGCTTGATTGTCTTTATGTTTATGGTGTAAAAATGCTGTGGAAATTAACCTCAGTCAAAACATTATACTGGATGTCACGATTACAGCTAATTAGTAGCTGATCCACAAAAGAAGTAAGGCATTCATTGCTTATCACATAATGTCTGGTCAGGGCTTTGTGTCAGAAATGTAGAGAAATCAGAGCATTGAGATGAGCTTATGTAGTTCACCATGCTGAATCATCAAAAAGGGCTCATATGAAATTCTTTAAGACAGTCTCCATTATGCGTGTATGTGTGTGTGTGCACTTATCTCTATCCCACAGTCCCCCTGCTGGGTGAATTAAGCAGAGAAAGAGAGGGGGAGAGAGAAGAGAGGTGGAGAGAGAAAATGGGAGACAGAGCTGCAGGTTCTTGTATTGATGGCTCTACTAAAAATAACTGCAATGCAGTCACTCAGCATGGGACAGAGAAAGCACAACATAAGACTCTCTGTTTAACCCTATAACAACAATACATATTCACCATATGCACAAGCAACCCAAATTAGATAAATAAATAAATACACTCAATTTATACAAGATAACAAACAACCTAAGTTAGAGTTAATGCCCATTCACAATAATAACAACAACATAAGGATAATTATAACAGTAACTATCCACCTTTTTCAATATGTGACTGCTACCTTTCAAATGATGGGTTGCACTTCTGTTTTTGCTATCTTCCATTGATAAAAGACGAAAACAAATTATTTCAAATAATGAGGTTGCGCTACAAATAACTGATTTTGATGTTTAAAACTGGCTGAGGGGTGCATTTTGGCTTTGTGCTATATTGTTATCTGTAATGAAAGTATTGTTAAGCGTGGTATTTTTACTTGACATTTGTTTCACAAAGCTTTTTTCAGTGTTAAGTTTCATTCTTCTAGATGTATTTCTCTTTTTAAAAATCACATGACGGATCATATGGCAGAGGAAAAAGCTGGATATAAAATAACTATTTTAGCTTTCACACAACACATGATTTTGTCAGTTTATTACAAGTGCCTCTGCAGTTTTGTTGTAATGTTGACAGCTAGTGCTCAAACTGGGTACTGCAGTCCAAATTCAAAATAGTGGAGTTTTTTCCTTGTCCCCTGCTTCCAAATTTCAGGTTAATGACCACAATGCTGTCTTACACTGCAAGCTGATACACCATTTGCTATCAATTTGTTTGCTGGTACCATGGCTGCATTCTACTTTGTTTTCCACCAACTGGCATAACATTAAAAAGTAAACTGTTAGAAGGTGAAATCACCAAAAAAGGCATGAATAAATAAATAAATAAATAAATAAAATCAAACAATGTAGACTAGGGATGTACCGATTCACTGTGAGCCAGTTGAAAATCGATTCAAATATGTGACAATCGGTAGAAATGTTGAATGAACAACTATACATATTTTGAACAAAGGGGGCACTGTGTTTACAGGTAATATTAATTATTCTCCTTCATAATCATTTTCAGCTCCTGTCTTCATAATTTTATAATCAGTGTTTTATGCCAGCGGCCAGTCCCCTGGAGCAGAGGGCCCATTGACCACCTCTGTATACACTGCTCTCTGGTTTAAGAAAGGCTTTCCTCTTCACACCAGCCATCTCAGTCCCCAATGAAAGTGTTTATTTTCGGCAGGGGACATTGTAAATGTGCAAAGACTTCAGCTTATGCAGGAAAACAGATATTCTTATATTCTTTTAAAAATGTAAAATCCCAGCACAGTCACAGTTTTAGTTTGTTTATATTAATGAGTCTTCTTTATTTATATTATTATTGTTTTGCTTATTGTGTTTTTTTTTTTTGGAATTTAATTGTTTTTAAATTAGCAGTTTAGTTATGGCAGATTTATTTATTTACTTTTTATTTTTTGCAAAAAAATGTGCTGCATGTTTCAAATAATTTTGTTAAAAATCATCACTAAATTGTGAATCGTGAGATTAGGATCGTAAATTGTATCTAATCCTGAGTCAGGTTACATTCCTAATACAGACACA